TTGATTTTAAAAGAGTTATTGAATAAAAAGTGTTGGCCCCTCTCAGCCCTTTATTTGATGAGTCAGCACATTTTTTTTTATATCATATTAAAGATTTTTATATTTTGCACAAATGTTGTTCAATATGTTATAACAAAATAATTATATTTTCAATGATATGATGCAAAATGTCTCAAAAAATCACTTATAAAACGTGTCCTAAATTTTGACCCCTACCGAGCTTCCATACTAGTTACTTCCGGAAAAAATCCTGACCATGTTGCAACGTGGCAACATGTCCTCTATCATCACTAAAAATTTCAGCTTTATAGCTTAAGCCGTTTTTGAGTTCCATCACAGACAAGGAGGTCCTCCAAATTTTGATCAAAGGGCGATAACTTCCGACCGGAAGTGAATTTCAAAAAAATGATCTGCCGGAATTAACTTCAGATGACAACGCATCGACCGTGAAAATTTGAAGCAAATTGAAGGAGCCATCTCCGAGAAATCTTCTGCACAAATTTTGTAAGAAGAAAAAAGAATAAAAATAATAATAACTAGATACGATCTCGTTGCGAGCAACGAGTGGGTCTTCCGTCCGATTCTTGATAAGATGAGATAAGATTTTGATTGAGAATTTTATTCTAAGATAATGATAAAGATTGTGAAGAAGAACAATTTTGCCTCCATAATCTGTAAACAGACATTGAACATAAAGACTCAAAAATTCGACTTTTGGCCCCTCACGGCCCCTAATATTAGGAATCAGTCCTTTTTTCTTCGTATCATCTTAAACCTCTCAGGATTTTGAACACTTTTTGTTCAACAACTATTCAGAGATTCTCTTTCGTTTTCGAGTTATTTGAAAAAGAAATATTTAGGGGCCAACCCTTCAACTAATTAATGGGGACATTTAGCGAAAAATGAAAGGTTGCATATTATTCAGAACATTATTTTGAACATCTTTTGTTCAATACTACTTATCAAAATATTTCCCAATTTTGAGATATAAAGCGTCAAAGATTGAGCATTTTGGCCCCTTGTGGCCCCTTATTATGCACCATGCGACATTCAAATCATAATACATAGTTGTAGATTGTTGAGATAAACATTCTTGCTTCAGTAATGTATAACAAAATATTGACTGCTAAAGAGTTATCGATTAAAGACTTTTGGCCCCTAATTTGAGTTCCAAGTCCCTTTTTCTTGATCTGATTTTAAAGCTCTTTGGATTTTGAACACTTTTTGTTCAACAACTATTCAGAGATTCTTTTTCGTTTTCAAGTTATTTACAAAAGAAATATTTAGGGGCCAACCCTTCAACTCCTTAAAGGGGACGTATAGCGAAAAACTAAAGGTTGTATATTGTTCAGAACATTATTTTGAACATCTTTTGTTCAATACTACTTATCAAAATATTTCCCAATTTTGAGATATAAAGCGTCAAAGATTGAGCATTTTGGCCCCTTGTGGCCCCTTATTATGCACCACACGACATTCAAATCATAAAATATAGTTGTAGATTGTTGAGATAAACATTCTTGCTTCAGTAATGTATAACAAAATATTGACTGCTAAAGAGTTATCGATTAAAGACTTTTGGCCCCTTTTGGCCCCTAATTTGAGTTCCCAGTCCCTTTTTCTTGATCTGATTTTAAAGCTCTTTGGATTTTGAACACTTTTTGTTCAACAACTATTCAGAGATTCTTTTTCGTTTTCAAGTTATTTACAAAAGAAATATTTAGGGGCCAACCCTTCAACTCCTTAAAGGGGACGTATAGCGAAAAACTAAAGGTTGTATATTGTTCAGAACATTATTTTGAACATCTTTTGTTCAATATTACTTATCAAAGTATTTTCCACTTTTAAGATATAAAGCTTCAAAGATTTGGCATTCTGGCCCCTTATGGCCCCTTATTATGCACCATACGACATTCAAATCATAATATATAGTTGTAGATTGTTGAGATAAACATTCTTGCTTTAGTAATGTATAACAAAATATTGACTGCTAAAGAGTTATCGATTAAAGAATTTTAGCCCCTCTCGGCCCTTAATTTGAGTGCCAAGCCCCTTTTTTTTTGATCTCATCTTGAAGCTCTCAGGATTTTGAACCCTTTTTGTTCAACAACTATTCAGAGATTCTCTTCCGTTTTCGAGTTATTTGCAAAAGAAATATTTAGGGGCCAACCCTTCAACTCCTTAAAGGGGACGTATAGCGAAAAACTAAAGGTTGCATATTGTTCAGAACATTATTTTGAACATCTTTTGTTCAATATTACTTATCAAAATATTTCCCTCTTTTGAGATATAAAGCGTCAAAGATTTAGCATTCTGGCCCCTTATGGCCCCTTATTATGCACCATACGACACTCAAATTGTAATATATAGTTGTAGATTGTTGAGATAAACATTTTTGCTTCAGTAATTAATAACAAAATATTGACTGTTAAAGAGTTATCGAACAAATACTTTTGGCCCCTCTCGGCCCCTAATGTGATGAGTCAGCACATTTTTCTTGATATCATATTAAAGATCTTCTCATTTTGCACAAATATTGCTCAGTATGTTATAACAGAATAATTATATTTTAAAAGATATCATGCAAAATGTCTCAAAAATTCAGTCATGATACGTGTCCTAGATTTTGACCCCTACCGAGCTTCCATACTAGGCATTTCCGGAAAATTTGAAAACCATTGTGCATCTTGACAACATGTCCTTTATCTTTGGTAAAAATTTCAGTGTTCTAGCGTTAGCCGTTCTTGAGTTCTGGTGATGACAAGGAGGTCCTCTAAATTTTGATTAAAGGGCAATAACTTCCGACCGGAAGTGATTTTCGAAAAAATGAGAAAAATGGATCAGGTTTAGTTGACGACACACCTTTCCTGAAAATTTCAAGTTAATCGATCGAGCCATCTCCGAGAAATCTTCTGCACAAAAATTGTAAGAAGAAAAAGAATAATAATAATAATAATAATAATAATAAAAGTGAAAAAGAAACAATAGAATAATAGAAGGGTCTTCCGTTGGAGACGGAAGACCGTAATAACTAGAGCAAAGCTCGTTGCAAAGCAACGAGAAGGTCTTCCGTCCTGTTTGACCGGAAGTTTATGCTACTTCCCGTGTGACGGAAGTGTTGACGACGGACATTAAATTAATTTTTGTGCTCCCAGTGACAGATGTTACCAAAAAACTTTTCAAGAACGGTAAAAATACGCGTTTTTCGACTACTTCCGGTTTGGCCGGAAATGACGTCGACGGACGTATTTTGACGACTCCATTAGATTAAGCTTGACATTTTGAACAACTTTGCTTCATGGACGTATTACAAATTCTCAATACTTTTTGAGATATAAAGGAAAAACTTTCGGCCCCTTTAGACCCCTAATTTTAGGGGCCAGCCCCTTTTCCGAGATATCATTTGGAAGAACTTAAAATTCTACACTTCTTTTGTTCTATATGTTTTAACAAAATATTTCCAGGTAAAAAGATATCGTAGAAAAAGTGTTAAAAATTTTGAAATTCGCGTTAAGCCTATTTTCGGGCCATACCGAGCGCCGACGTGCAGCACTTCCGGTAAAAATAAAATACATTCCACAAATCTACAGACATAGGTCTACTAGACCTGAAAGTATCACGTGTCTATCTAAAGTCGTTTAGGAGAAATCGTGCGGACAAACTGACCCTTAAAAAATCAATTTTGTGCTGACAACTCCGGACCGGAAGTGACGTCATCAAAACAGAAAAAAACGCATAAGATTCAAGTGATGTTACATAAGTCCTGAAAGTTTCATGGAAATCCATCGAGCCGTTTTCGAGAAATCGCGTGCACAAAATCGGTAAGAAAAAAAACAATAATAATAATAAAAGTGAAAAAGAAACGTAAGAATAACTAGAGCTGAGCTCGTTGCAAAGCAACGAGTAGTTCTTCCGTCCTGTTTGACCGGAAGTAGCTATCATTTAACAAAAATGAGAAATAACGCCTAAAAATGGTTTGAATCCTCTAAGCTATGTTCAATAATGCAAAATTAAGCAATTTTTTGCTACTTCCGGTTTGACCAGAAGTGATGACGACGGACGGAAAATTAGTTTTTATGCTCCCAAAGACATATGTTACCCCAAAACTTGTTAAGAACGGCAAAAATACGTGTTTTCGACTACTTCCGGTTTGGCCGGAAGTGACTACGCTGGACGTATTTTGACGACCCCAATAGATTGCGCTTGACATTTTGAACAACTTTGCTTCTTTGACGTATTACAAATTCTCAATACATTTCGAGATATAAAGAAAAAAACTTTCGGCCCCTCTTGACCTTTAATTTTAGGGGCCAGCCCTTTTTCAAAGATATGATTTGAAAGATCTTGAAATTCTACACTTCTTTTGTTCTATATGTTTTAACAAAATATTTCCAGGTAAAAAGATATTGTAGAAAAGGTGTTGAAAATTTTGAAATTTGCGATAGGACTATTTTCGGGCCATACCGAGCGCCGACGTGCGGCACTTCCGATAAAAATGAAATACTTTCCGCAAATCTACAAACATAGATCTACCATACCTGAAAGTATCATGTGTCTACCTAAAGCCGTTTAGGAGAAATCGTGCGGACAAACTGACCCTTAAAAAACCATTAAAGTGCCGATAAATCGGAACCGGAAGTGACGTCATCAAAACCGAAAAAAACGCATAAGGTTCAAGTGATTTAACATAAGTCCTGAAAGTTTCACGGAAATCCATTGAGCCGTTTTCGAGAAATCGCGTGCACAAAATCGGTAAGAAAAAAAAAACAATAATAATAATAAAAGTGAAAAAGAAACCTAAGAATAACAAGAAGGTCTTCCGCTGAAGACGGAAGACCTTAACAAGAAGGTCTTCCGCTGGAGACAGCCTAAGGTTCGGTAGAGGGGGCTGATCGAATGGACCTGCAACTCTGCCTAACATGATTTCATTAATGACCAACTGAATAGCTGCATAATGTAACCCAGACATGTATTTGAGATTATTACAGTCAGTGGCCACTCGAGGCCCTTCATAACACAACCTAAAACCATATGTAAAACCCTGCAAAAGTTCTAAGGCTACCAAGCCAAGTGGGTAATTTGCTAATAAATCGCCTAATCTCGGTACGTTAATCGGGCTTGCTGCAATATTACTGAGGTCTAGCTGATTGGGTATAAGGTGCTCTAATAGCTGAACTTGGTGCCGCGGGTCTCCTGGGTAGCTGAGGCCGCCATGTTGCTTGCAGACCAGTTGACCTAAAATTCAAACTAGAGCCTGAGGATGTCTTATGTTTAATGTAGGGATGGTTTTGTGAACATATCATACATTCGTGCTTGTATTGACATACAAGTTTACTACATATGCCCTTGTAATTGAATTCATAACACTTTAGAAGGGGGACCTGTTGTGAGGAAGTCTGGGTGCTAGGGGGACTGTACATATACAAGAGCCATAGCTCCTGATCAACAACAGCAAATGAGAGAGATGGGTATGCCTCCTTCTTCAGTCTGAACTGGATGTCGTAATCACGCCACCCGAGAGTCTTAACTCTATTTGCCCCTAACCTAATAGTATGAATATATTTGAATAACTGAGCTCTGCTCTCGGGATGGGCTGAGGTATATATCGATGCGTAAATGAGAAAGGCATCTGTCCATACTTGTATGTCATTGATTACCTTTGCTTTAGATTTGGGGGCCAGGGTGAGGCTTTCCTCTTTCATAGAAAAATATCTGGTCTCATCGTTTGGATCGGCCCCATATGAATTTTCAACCAACAAGCCCAAATTGATATACTCGCCATTAACAATTTTAAGTTTTAATTTATTTGATACTTTATGGCCTAAATCATTGTCGTAGCTTGTCGTTAATGCAAGATAATTGTCATTTATCAAGACGGGTTCTGTACCTTGACTCTGTTCCCTTGTGGCCATGGGGGTTTCCAGTGGCTCTATGGGCATTGGGGGGTTTGTCTCACTCTGCTTGCTTAGGATGTTTGCAACAGCTTCTGACACCTGCTGCAACTGCTCATTAGATAAGCTAAAGGACGACTGTTGCTGCTCAAAGAACTCTTTAGTGTATTAGTAAAAAGGATTTGGTACATTCGGCAAAAGTTTAATTCATTCCATGCTAAAATATATCGACAATGAAGATGTAAATAACGGAATCTTTGTACTGCCGGATGTTTTCTATACATCCCGGTGAGGGCGCTGCAATCGGAGGGAGATCGTATAGTGATATCTATTGTGACGTCATAGGAGTCGGCGGTCCCTTCGTTTTAGGTCTATGTTTTTTCTTTTGAAGTGATCTAATTTTCATAATGTAAGTAAATGTAATGATAAAGTAATCTTATTTTAAATATTAGATTTCGTTCAAAGTAAAACTTAATTATAAAAAACCTCAAAAGTTTTTCGTAATGAAAGTCATTTTTAGTGTAGCGTCATACACTGAAAAGGATACGAACGACAACTCTATATACTGACGGGAGACGGTAAACCTAGTCTTTCAGACGCCCGACGGTACCAGATTTTAGCAATTTCTTTTTCACCGATGCACAGAATTTATTCAAAATTTTCAAGAACGTTTTATTTGTTTAAATGAATTCATTCATGCATTACAACTTTAGGAAGCATACGTATTTATAACTAAATCGGCAGAATCACCTGCCAAAAGCTGTAAATCTGTAAATCTAGTACTTTGTTATAAACGTTAAAACCAAAACCGGAAACTGATGTTTTCGTAAAATCGCAATTAAAAACAGCAAAATAAAGTATATATATTTTTAATAAAAGGAAAAGCTCATTTACATACCAGATAATTTGTACGCACACAAATTCTCACATATACCACTGTTTATATGTTTGTTCATTAAGTAATTGTTTTTAACTTGGTATTGTTTTTTTCTTCACAATATTAAAAAAGATTAAGTTCTGACGTACTACATGTATAATGTTCGTGAAATTGAAATACATTTATATTCATAGAGAAGTTTTATATAGCAAACCTGTTAGCTCTTAAAAGGATGCTGTGTTAAATCCACATTTTATCAATATTGATAATATGTTTTACGGTGTGACCGTTTGGGCGAGCGCAATTATGTTTCATCATAAACTTATACATGTACTGCGTATCATTCAAGAAAAAGGGAAAAAAAGAAGAAAGAAAACAATTTAAAAAAAATACTTCCTAAGCATTGGGATCGAGATTCTGAACTTCTCGAATGATACTGTGTTCAAATCCACATTTTATCAACATTGATATTATTCCTACGAAACAGAAATTTTCATAACACATGGGTTAAAGGTACCAAGGAAAAATATATTACAAATTTGAAGACTATGAGCAGTGAATTATATAAATGATCAACCGCCTCTAATATGAATATAGTGGCTGTGTCCATGTTTTGCAATGGGAAACCCAAAATATGTGTAGGATGAAAATTAAAGTAATAGAAAGGTGTACAACGGCAATATGTAATAAAGATTCTATGAAAATTTCTTTCAGTGGTGTTAGAGGAGTTTCGGATAAGAGATGGGTATACCTAAAGCGTTACAAACAGATGGACGGAAATCCCGATTAATAAATACCTTATCCCTTTTCAAGCAGGGGGTATGAAAAAAAGGACTAATGTAGGCGAGCAAAGATTATGGCCCATGCATTTTTTTTTTTGCTCTTTGATGTCTCTGAATGCCTTTCTCAAAATAGTTGCAACTTAAAAGAGTCTGAAACAGTTGTCTGTTTTTGAAATGATAATTTTGTTCATTCACTTAACCTCCAGATAAAAGATGATATTTTACACCATGTTCAACTCCCATGAGTGCTTTCGGTACTTTGATTTTAAAAAGTAGGTCAAACTCAAAGGTCAAATGGTCAAATTCTTGTTATGATATGAATCTTATCACTAGGATCAAATATGTAAAGTATGAAAGCGCTACCTAAATCTCTTAAAAAATTATGGTCAAGGTTTCTTTTTTTTAAAAGTAGGTCACACTCTAAAGTAAAAGGGTCAAAATGCTTGGTATCCAATTGAAAGGTCTTATCACAAGGATTACATACAAGAAACCTTTATTGTTTAAAAGTTATCGCAAACGTTGATTTTTTTTTCATTAGCACAGAAATTTCTTAGGTCAAAAGGTCAAAATTATTGGTATTCAATGAAAAGTGTTACCACAAAGAATACTTGAAAGTGAGCTTTTCTGATCAGCTGTTGTACCTCGTCGGTCTGTCCATCCATCGTACGTCCGTCCGTCTGTAAACTTTTCACGTTTTCATTTTCTTCTCAAGAACGACAGGGCCAAACCTTGTACAAAGCATCCTTAGAGGGAGCGGAAGTTTAAATTGATAAATTTAAAGGCCAAGTCCCCGAACGTTTACTAAAAAAACAAAGATAGGGTTGGGTCATTATAAATCCTCTTATCAAGAACCACTAGGTCACGTAAGCTTAAATTTTTTTTGAAGCATTCCAAAATAGTGTAAATTCTGAATTGTTTATATCATGACCCCTGGGTGTAGGGAAAGGCCACAATAGGGGATCCGATTATAAATTGTTAAACATGTACATATGTATATAGGCAAAGTCTTTTAAAAATCTTCATCTCAAGAAGTACTGGACCACATCAGCTACAACTATGTGGTAGCTTCCTTGGGCCACAATAGGGAATCCAATTTTACATTGTTATACATATGTATATAGGCAAAGTTTTAAAAATATTCTTCTCAAGAAGCATTCCATGGACCACAACAGCTGCAACTATGTGGAACATCCTGGGGTCGTGTATATTTTAAATAACTCTAAACATGACCCCAGGGATATGACACGACCACATAAGGGAAACAAATGTTTTACATCGAAATGTATAAGGGAAAACTTAATAATCTTTTACAAAACACTGGGCGACAAAAGCTGCAATTTATGTGGATGCATTCTGGGGTAGTGATAATTCTTCATTCTCCATATTATTACTCGTTTGGGGGTCAAACTCCAAAGATAAGGTCAAAAGGTAAAAATTGTTGGTATCCCAAGGAATACCTTGTAATAAAGAAAACATATGTGAAATAAACCAGCCCTAGTGCTAAATGTTCAAAATGTTTGCAAAGGTTATATATTTTAAAAAATGGGTCAAACTCTGAGTCTGAGGTCAAGTTCAAGAGGTCAAAAAGTATGTATCAATAGAAAGGTTCTCCTAAAACAGAATTGATATAGTAAACTTTACAAAGGAAGAAACCTGCTTTGTCAGAAGGGACCAGTAGGTAATGGTCTTATTTATAACTTCTGGATTATTGAACCCGGAAGGATGGATAGTTTTCATATTGACCGTCAGTCTTTAGATACATGATTTTAATAGATATCTGATATATTTAATCTATTCTGACAAAGTGTCTTCTTTTTCATATCTGGCCCATCGTCTGGCGTAATCTCCAATAGAATCAATAATATTTATAAAATTCCGACGCCATTTGAATCATCAGGATCCCCTTTAATTTGGACCTTTAAAAATTAATGATCGTTCAATATTTTCAATTTAGATTTGTAGCTGAACAACAAATACATGTCGCTGAAAAAACAGCAAAAATACATACTTTGTGATAGGTAATGATCTGCTAGTAATATCAGGGCTTGTAAGACTATATTATTGTGTATTAAAGAATTATGTGAACTGTGGAACGATTTGAATCAAACGGATTTACATCTACAAAATAAATTTAGGCATGATGTGTTAAAAGATGTACAGAATATTTCTATTAAATCAGGTGTCAAATCCCACCAGAGCAAAAAAATTTGACGCCTTTTGGCAATAAAAGTAAATGCATTCTTACATCTCATTATGCTCCCGAATCAATAGATTCGGGGCGTATTTTGTCTTTGTATTGTCTGTCTGTTTGTCCGTATATTGTCAACTTTAACCTTTGCCATAACTTTTGAGCCTTGCAAGATAGATACTTCATAATTAGTATGCATAATTCCCTAATAAAGCTCGTTCTAATAACACCAAGGTAATTGACCTTGTGACCTTGACTATGACCTATGTGCTAAAAATAGCTTTTTCAAACTTTTTCCAAAACGTTTGAACCATACGAGATAGAGATTTCCTATTTTGTATGCATCCTCAACTAATTAAGTTCTTTTAAATGACATCAAGGTTAATGAACTTGTGATCTTGACTGTAACGTTTATGCAAAAATAGCTTTTTAGAACTTTGGTTCCGCTGGGCGCATAGTGTTTTACAAAATTAAAGCATCTTGTTTTTGGAATGTGTATATGCTATACACTTTATGTTAATATTCAATTTTTATTTTTTTCATTATTTATTCCAGTCATTGTTTTGAAATTGAAAGCTTATACATGTAGAAGTGTCCATTTAAAAGAAAAAAAACTAATATAGGAAATATTTCTACATTTATACAGTTAACTTAATATTGAATTGATATCAGCCGACTCTTGTATTTTTAGCTTACCTGAGCCAAAGGCTCAAGTGAGCTTTTCTGATCAAAATTTGTCCGTCGTCTGTCGTTGGCGTTGTCCTTGGCGTAAACTTTTAACTTTTTTATTTTCTTCTCACAAACCACTGGGCCAATTTCAACAAAACTTGCCACAAAGTATGGGATTCAATTTTCGTCTCAAATGAAGGGCCAAACTCTCTTACAAGGGGAGATTATTATGAATAAATGAAAAATTAATGGCATCTTTTAAAAATCTTCTTCTCCAGAACCACTGTGCCAGGAAAGATGAAACTATTAGAAAAGCATCCTAAGATAGGGTAGATTCAAGTTTATTCAAATCATGACCCCCGGGGGTTCTTGAAGGGCAGGGAAACTATGACTGATCAACGTGTTACATGAAATAGTATTTTCATTTTTGATTTTCGGTTTTTGAATTTAATAAAAAGTGTTGCCATTATTACTAAAAAATAGAAATATCTGTGAAATTCCTTTAAAACGCTACCTCTTCTACAGTTTTGGTCTGATGGCAATGGCTTCCTTTCTCATCCTTTGTTATTAGTACAAACCAGTAGAGCTACATTCTCGACAGAGACTTCTGGTTAGTTTTCATTTCCCACTTTTTTTTGCTTTCATTTCCGACATTTTTCTTATACATACGTAGTACCTATAGTAACAGATTTGACAACTTCACCTATGAAAAATTTAAAGGAATAAATAATAAATAAATCAGTGAAATTCAATTTTGTAAATCTATCGGTGTCTTGGACATAAGCATGGTGCTGTTACTGACATTTCATTTAGTGCATATAAAATGTTGTGAAAAAAGTTTTATGCTCATTGAACTCTTAACTTAGACTTAGTGTACGATGGCCGTTAAAAATTACGCGGACTGTGCTACATGTATTATTTACTCTTACAGACGTCATATAGTTATGAAATTTCACAGAAATATGTATCTTAAAGATTTCAATAAATTTCGGGCAAAATTTTTGTATTAAAAAAAAATTCTACGGAAATTATCGGTATGTTGATATCGCTGATGGAGAGGTACGGAGCACGACAAAAAATTGAAGCAAAAGCATGCGGAATCCATATGGAATCTCATTGATTTTCTATAATTCGTGATATTTTTCGACAATTTTCTCAAATGTATGTTTATATTGTTCTAATATTATGTATTTAGATTTCTGACATGATATTTGAAGTACTAACAGAAATATAGTAATTTTTCCCGATGCGATACCCGTGAAAACGACTGTGAAAATGACGTCTCCTGAATTGAAAGCGCACCACACATTTGTTAAATTATGTGTAATGCTCGAGATATCCCCAACATACCCTAGTAGATCCAAACTATGCATAATAAAATGTGTAGTACATGTAAACTTTGGTATTCATGACAATCGTCAACAAATAGTTAAATGAAATTTTAGACCGTATTACCTCTGTAAAAAGGCTATACGGGAGGTCGGGAAGAGGATTATCGACGAAAACTTTATCCGGACTGTAAAGAATGTGATTGAGAGTCATCAATATCACACTGTATCTCATAAATACCTGCAGTTTTTGGTTTTAAAACAAAAAAAGAATATTCTTTCTTTGTTTAACAGATTTTAAGCTAGACGGGAAATGGTGTTTGGATGTTGAGTAGAAAAGGTAACTCAAACTGTACAGGTACTCTTCGGAAAATGTTGAGAAAATGAAAGTTCAATCACATATTTTTTTATAATGCCTGTGACGTCGAAGATTTTGCTGCTCAGTGACTCAATGATATGTCCTGATAAATCACTCAAAATTGATACCAATTTACAACATTTTGATAGGAAATTTTGAAAACCATATAAGTAAAGATTCTTTTATATCATCTGTGACATTTTGCCCGAATATGTCGTCAAATATTTTTTTCTGTGCAACAAGTCCGCGTAATTTTTGAACGGCTCTCGTATATGTATATTTTTAAAATCTTTTTTATTAATATTTTATATAAATACATTTAAAATCCCATTTTACTTAGAAAACATGGAATTGCCGCACAGGTAAATTCCGGAAAAGAAAACAAAATAATGTCGGAAATGAAATAAAAAAAAATGTCTAAAATGAAATAAAAAAATGCCGGAAATGAAATTTTATCCCTTTACTCCAGGCTATAAGTTCCCTAGTCAGCTGTGTGCGTTGAAGTGAGACGTGATCTCTTACATGTAGCTTTTAGATTTCATAGTTCTGCTGCGTTAAATAAACAAAGGTACTGACACGATAGTATTTCTTATGATCTTTTTTTTTTTGTATTGTAATTTTTAGTTTGTCTGACGAATGAAATCTCCGTAAGATTTAATTGTTGAACAAATAAAATATGGTTCATCAATTGATCATGAATTGCTTTTTAAGAAAACTCAATACTCAATAGTTGTCTATGATATGGTATATAAATATTTTTGCACTTTTAAGTATAATTGCCCATACTTGACTGTGTGGAAGTAAAAAGATAAATTTATATAGGGTGTCCTCTGGATTTAAAGCTTATCCCTTACACTTGAAACATGGCTACTAGTATTATCTTAAATTTAAATTCATTTTTTTAGCTAAGAAACATATCAAGAGATCAATTAAAGATGTCCGAAAAACATTGAGTTTCTTTGACTTTGGAGGACAGTGTGCGTACTACGCCTGTCACCAGATTTACCTGACCAGGAGAGCTTTCTATGTTGTGGTGGTGGACGCCTCTAAACATCTTGAGCAGACTGTAGATCCGGAGGTTTGTGATCAGAAAGATACAGTCTTTGCAAATTGGACATA